CCCCCGGGCCGCGCCGGGGCACCGCGCCGTGCTTCCTCCCCAACGGGCGGCCGCCTGACGGTTCGGCGTTCGTCGCGAGGCTGCTGGGTGGAAGGGGAGGCCGAAAGCAGATTAAACCCGGGCGCGTGCCCTTTTCTCTTCGGTTGTGCTGAAATGAAGGGGGGTGTGGGGTTGCCAAGCTTTGGCTGGCTTTCCTTTGCGGAAATCTCGCCTGGGACTGGGTTCCCAGCCTCTCGGGGCCTGGAAGGACCCGGTGCAAAGGGGATGTCTCCTGCCCGGGTTTGGGCAGTGACGAGCACCCTCCACCTTGCACCCCGCAGGAGAAGGCCGGCCATGGGCTGCCGTGCCAGCAAAACTGCGCTGAGCCTGGATTTCTAGTGCAAAAGGGGAAGGTGCTAAGAGAGCCGGGAGGAGCCCTTACTCGCGCGCCCCAGCCAGACCATACTGGTCCATTGGGCCGGCCCCGCGTGTGGGCACCTCAACCCGGCCTTCATCTCCCCGCCTGACCCGACGGGCGCGCACCGGCGCTGCTCTGCTCCTCTCCTCTCTCCCTCCCTCCCCCTGGTCCCGTGTTTACTCTCCGCTTTTCTGCTTTCTGTCTAGAAACAGGGCTGCAGACACAAGGCGAAGCCGGGAGAAGACCGTTGTTTAAAAGCAGCGCGCTGAAGGATGTTTGTGTTGCCAAAACCTCTCCGGGCATCTGTAAAATCTGGCACAATGGGCGGAGAAAAGTAGGACTTAGAGAGAACCCAAGGAGGCCTGAGACTTTTTGTTGGCCACAGGGCCCGTAAATTATCTTGGCAGCCCCGTTTTAGTGTTCGAGGAGCATGGGACTCCCGTCCATCACAGGATCTGGAGGAGAGGCAGTAACAAAGGAACTGCTGTGCCGAAGGGAAACGAGGGGAACCTCGCTGAACCCTCACCCAGCAGGCTTCAGGAGATGTAACATTACTTTAATGTGCCGTTATATCTACATTTAGAAAAAGGGTCATCACACGGACTGGGCTGCACCGCTAAACAATTCTGTTGAATAATTGTTCTCAGACCAACCTCCTGCTGAGGATCTCTCAGTAACTTCCATATCACACTGATACTGTGCTATGCCTGAATCCAAAGTAAGCTCACAAAGCAAGGGGGGGAAAGGAAGATGTGATGTAGCCAGGAGTGGTGATCCAGACAGTTACAGCACGGATGAGTGAAATGCTTGAAATAAGCAGGAGTGCTTTAGTGTATCAGAACAGAATTCCATACCCAGGAGCACCGCTTTGCGTCGTGCAAAGAGCCATACGCCTTCTCAGCAGAGACAAATTCCTAAATTCAGTTGAGTTTGGACCGTGCCTTAAAAAACCCAGCAATATTCATTATTTTTTCAAGCTGTTTGATGACAGGAGAGAGAACAAACAAAAGCCGGTGAAAACCAACTGTGGTGCGGAGTGGGGATGGAGAGTGGAAACCAGCATAATATTTAACTCGGCTGGATTTGTTTCTTTGTTTTACAGTTAGGATTTTTGATTCGCGTTGGTGAAAGGTACGGACGTTTTATTACTGCTTCCATTAATCACTTGGCCAGAAGTCCTAGGAGCGTCCTGGAACCCCACCATACCAGTGGATCAGCACAGGACACAAAAATGATGCTTACCGTAAAGAATTGGTGATCTAAAGAAGGTCAATTGCGTGGTACATGACTTCACTTTTATATAAATGTACGTTGTAGACTATATTTGCATAACCTATTCTCATTACATATCTCCATATATATCTATGTCTATAGTAATTTCAGCAGAATTTATATGGTGAGTTTAGAATGCAGATTTTTGGTCCCCAATTTTTAAATCATCTGAGACTCCGAAATTAGTACTATAAGATTATATTTAAATAAGGAAAATTACATGAGGTTAGGTTCACCATTCTGGCTTTTTGGTGTCAGAATTAACAGGGTTTAATGGCACAGACCGGAATCTCCTTGCAATGAAAAGGGCTTGCGTAGACCCGCCTTCTGTCGAGACTTCTAGTGACACCCCGTTACTCGGCTGAACTTGAAGAAAGTCCCTCAGCATCCTTGGGGCGAGGGGCTGTGTCGGTCCTTCGATGCCATGGACTGAGGCCCTTCCGCGTTCCGCGTTCTGCAGAACTCGCTTGCCTTTGTCAGAAAAGGGAAGTTTCTGTCCTCTGGGTTTGGAGACAGCCTTCCTAC